TAGCAGAAGCATTACATGCAGGAAATGCAAATTTATGACTAGATTAAGTGTCTACTCCAGTTAAGGACAAAGCGTTGATTGACCTTCCCATAAAGGAAGGTGGTCCAAGGTACTCACCTGCCTAATAGGTCACTAGTTGGTCATCCGGGGGAATGGTTCCATATCAGAGGCTGTTAGGCTTTGCTCCCCAGATTTGGCACTCAGCAGCAGCTGTAGCCAGGTCAGTCTTGGTGACAGAAAATCCATATTTTTGTGCTTATGCATAACCTCCATCTCTCCCATGATGGCCACTTTGTTCCAGGACCCTGTAGGGAGACAGAGAAGGAGCAGACCAAGGCACTTACCAGACAGAGTAGGTAAGAAGAGATTAGATCAGGTGGAGGAGAAAGCAGCTGGAGAGGTGAACCCTAAAATTTGCAGTCAAACATGGTGGGTGGCAGAAGACAGCAGAAACAAATGATCCAGTCAGATTGACAGCTTTGTCCAGTTAGGATGGGCTGGGCCCCTGGGAAAGAGGTCCATTTGTGCCAGTACTGAGTTTTGGCACCAGATATATTCTAGGGGGCACAGGAAAGAAATTGCCAACAAGACCGCTCCATGATATTGTTAAGGGTTTTATGGTAGATACGAGAGAAGAGCCCAAAGTAGAGAAAGAGGTAGATTGAATATGGCCAAAAGACTGGACATGGCTAGGGCTGTCTGTGAGAGAAGGAAGAACAGCATGGAGTAGAGAACAGAGAAAGCGTAGCGAGAATAGCAGGGGGGTGGCACCTTGACATTACAGAGAAAACAAATGACTATTTGGGAGGAGGGAAGCCTGGGGAGGGAAGGAGGGCCGGAATGCTAGAGTGTGGACTTTGAAATGTATAATAGGTACTTGTGATGCTGAGGGGGCCTGGAGGCCGGCATGGGCTTTGATATACAACTACAGGCATATGTCAATGGAGTCATATGTCCCTTCTGCCAGAGGAAAGGACATGCTCCTTTTGAAAGATGGGAACCAATTTCACAAGTTCCTGAGGAATGCTGACTTTTATCTAACTGCCAGAAATCCTCCTGTAGTCCAGGTTGAGCTCATTTCTGGATATTTGCACTTTTTTTTTGAGTTTGGGGGACTAAGCAATGACAGGAGTGGCTGGGAAAGAATTTCACTGTCCATAGAACCAGTCATCCTATCTACTTGATTACTGAACTCCTCCTCAGCTGGTCACCTTGTGATGAGCATTTACATCGGACACAATTATTTGGGCATGGTGGCATGTGCCTTTAATCCCATCATTTAGGAGGCAGAGGCCAGCAGATCTCTAAATTCCAGGACAGCCAGGGAGGGCTGTTACACAGAGAAACCCTTCCAAAAAAAATCACGGGACACAATTATCGTCACATACTTTGCCCATTTGGAGAGATCTATCCAAACACTTCTTCCACAGATGCTTTCTCATCAGTTTTTCAATCATGTTCTTTCCTCATCCCTGATCATCTAGCCAATCCATTGGCTACAGCCCATCATTCAGTAAGCAATGGCACATCTGATCATTTCTCCTTCCAAGCAAACTGTATGACCATGTGTGCTTCCCAGAGTTCTGCCCACTGTGAAGATTTCTCTTCGCCAGTGTCTTTTTTTTTTTTTTTTTTGGTTTTTGTTTTTCAAGACAGGGTTTCTCTGTATTGTTTTGGAGGCTGTCCTGGAACTCTCTGTGTAGACCAGGCTGGCCTCGAACTCACAGAGATCCACCTGCCTCTGCCTCCCGAGTGCTGGGATTAAAGGCGTGCGCCACCAACGCCCGGCCGGCAGTGTCTTTTAAGTTTATGCTAGAATGCGATTGTAATGTTCCAGCTGTCCATTTCTGGATGGTGCCTGCATAGCATGCAGAACTGTCTATTTTCAGGTGTGTGACTTTTTTAATGCTTCATTTGTTTAACTCTGTGAAGCTGTGTTACTGTGCATGTCTAAAACACCTGGTGGTCCTAATAAAGTGCTGAACAGCCAATAGTGAGGCAGGAGCAAGGACAGGCTGGCAGAAATGAAGGAGGAACAAGGAAGAGGAGCAACAAGAGAACAAGGAGAGGAGGACATCAAGGGCCAGCCACCCAGCCACCCAGACAGCCACGGAGTAAGAAGGAAAGTAAGATATACAGAATTAAGAAAGATGAAAGCCCAGAGGGAAAAGGTAGGTGGGATAATATAAGAAAAACTGGCTAGAAACAAGCCATGCTAAGGCCAGGCATCCATAAGTAATAAGATTCCATGATTCCATGTGTGATTTATTTGGGAGCTGGGTGGTGGGTCCCTCAAAAAGATCAAAGAACCTAGTCTTTTCTTCCTCAGTCAACTGATCATACACATGCTGCCATGAGGCCATAGGTATGTTTGTAAACAGAAGGCCTTGTAACAGAAATAGATACCATAGGTATCTGGGCAAGTTCTTCATGTAACTTGCTTGTGCCTCCGGGACCAGTTTGGGCCCAATCACATCTATACCACTTCCATTTGATATTGGATTGCTGTTGTATGTGTCCTACTTGATGGCTTTGTGGGTCTGATACTAGCCAGCTCATAATGGGTAAGGCTCAGTTTGCATGGTAACTTGGTGGCCCATTGTTTATTCTGGAGCCAATTTGAGTGACCATGGTCCAGGAACACACATTTGGATTACTCCAAGGATTGTTTCAGCATGGAAGCAGTTTCATGAAGGTTTTTTTTTAGAATTTTAAGGAACAAATAAAGTTTAAAAAAATCAGGGCAGGGGGAAGCGTTTCTACAGGCCTAAGATGCCATCTGATAATATTCTTAGCTTTTTTTGGTTTTGGTTTTGGATTTTTTTTTGTATTTCGTTTTGAGACAGGGTCTCCCTCCATAGCCCTGACTGTCTTGGAACAAACTATGTAGACAAGAGGCTGGTCTTGAGCTTATAGATACCTGTCTGCCTCTGCCTCCAGAGTGCTAGAACTAAAGCTATATGTCAGCTAGTCTGGTGACATTCTTAACTTCTGGGTTAGCTCTAGTCAGTAATCTGCTAAGTCAAAGATTCCAACAGTTTTTATCTATTAGTCACAGGATGTTGGTTCTGACACAAAGGTGGGCAAGAAATGGCTGTTCTAGGGGCCAAAGCTAGCCCAAGGTTGGGTAACTAGCATCTGGACCTTCCAACCTCTCCCACCGCTGCAGTTCTCAGTCCTACAGAGTCTTTCCAGGGATTCCTGCTCACACTGTTTCTCTCCCATAGCACACGAAGAGATGATTATAGCAAACCACTACCTGGTTTGCAGTAAGATGACTACAATCCAGAAGATAGTAAATGTTTGGGAACATGTGGAAGAATTGGAACCCTCACACCTTGGTAATGTGAATATAAATGGTGCAGCTTTTTTCAAAAACAGTTTGGAACTATCTCAAATTATTAAACATAGTTTCTGTGTGATCAAGCAGTCCACTGTCAGGAGTACACTACATATACAAGAGAATTAAAAGCATGTGTACACAAAGACTGGTTGACATCTGTTCATATTGTATTAAGCTAAGTCACAGAAATCGTGGAAATAACCCACTGTTCATTACCTGATGAATGAATAAGCAAGATGTGATATATGCTTACCACAACATTAGCCAAACGTCCAGTGGCACACAATTTTTTTGGTCTATGCTACAAATTTTATCAGCCTTCCAGCTGGATGATGCAGATCTGTAATGTCAGCATTTAGGAGGCTGAAGCGAGATGATCAGTGGTTCAAGGCCAGCCTAGGCTACATAAAACGTATCTAAGGGGTGTAGGGGAAGGTGAATATCAATCACATTTGCTCGCAAAGGAAAGCTTTATTCTCAAAGCAGACTCCGAACAAAGCCAGAGATGTACATAGCGTTTGGGTCTGCAGAGACTTGTGGTGATTCAGTAAATTGACCGTTTAGCAATTTACAGACAAATGACTGTATTGTGGTCTGCGGAACAAAGCGTCTGAGAACCGCTCTTTCATTCTGAAGCCCAACCATGGAGCTGCTGATTGGGCTACTGTCAATGATTAGCTGGCTTTCAGAAGCTGTTGGTAACTGGCTGATTTGGAAGCCCCTGAAGAGAGGCTGTCCCTGATTGGTTGATATTCAGAGACTGTGTTGGTTACCTCTAAACAATGGTTACACATTCACGACTTGGGTATGAAGGCAAATTATTTTCCTTTCTTGAGTATAAAAAGAAGTACTTTTATTTTCCTCTTTTGACCGTCTTTCCGTTAAACCTGCAGATAACACCTTAGGGATTATTAAAATCTTTATGAGCAGAAGGAGTTTTTTCTTTCTTTAGCCGGCACTATTAATGACTCAAACGCCGATCATTATGGCAGGAAAAAGTCCCGCGTTGTTAAAATTTAATATGACGAGATGAATTTAGAACACGCAGGACATCTTGATAAGGTCAATATGTGGTGCTGGACGTAATCATTAAATAGGCTCTGTAGCTAAAGGACACGGGCAACCACTTTATGCGGGAAGAAACTATGGCTCTGTGAGACTTTCTGGCTCACTGACCACAGCTGGAAACAATTCTAACTAGGATCTGAGCTGCAAAGGGAGGAGTCTCCTGGGATACGGTGAGTCTCTGACGCCGGTACACTGAACAGGACGCATCGCTAAGAGAACGAATGTTTCAAGGGTGGGTGTGCAACTGATGAGAAGCAGGCAACTGCTGACAGGCAGCTGTCCAGGAGACTCAGGGATAAAATGCCAGATACAGAACTGAAGTACCCCAGCACCGTCGGGCCAGGAGGGGCGGAGCTGGCTCGAGTCCCCGCCCCGGGCGCGTCCGCGAGTATGGCAGCGGTTCTGACTGATCCCCGCGACGCTGAGAGACCTTAGGGCCCGAAGTCGCACCGAGTCGGTCTGTCCCTGAAGCAGAACGGTCAAGCGCTCGGCCCCACGCTCGCTGACGCCCCAGCTACGCGCGCTCCCGCCCCGCCCCCACGTGCCCGCGCGCGCCTGCCCCGCCCCCTCGGCGCGCCCTCGCTCCGCCCTGCCGCTGGCCCGCTGCGGTGCCGGCGCCAGCGACCCTCCGCGGCCCCGTGGTCCTCCGCCGCCTGCCTCCATGGACTCTTTCGCCCCACCGCTGCCGGGGCGGCCCCGCGCGCGCTTCGCTGGCACCTCCGGCCGTGGGGCGGCCTCCGTCAGGTACGCCGGGTCGAGGCCGCCAAGTGTGGCCGGGGATGCGCCGTGGGGCGGCTACGCCTCGGGCGGCAGGGCGTGGTCTGATATGGCTTCCTTGCGGAGGATTGTTTGAAACGGCTCACCGAAGAACGTTTGCCTGGGGCCGGCGGCCTTCCGGAGGGACTGTGCTGTGACTATAGCTCGGCACCCACCGCGGTTCCCGGGAAGATCCCATTGTGACATGCCCACCCCAGGCCCTGTCTTCATGCGAGTGCGCCCCAGAAACTGCCGCATGAACCCCTGCGCTCCTAGGTGTCCAGAGCCTTTGCCCCAGACCGCAGCTCGGTTGTAGAGTTACCGATCCCCTGCGTGCACATTGGCAGCGCCTCCCCTCACCTGTCCCTGGCCATTGCATCCGACGTCCCCTCCACCCTGGGTGGGGAGTGCCCGTTGCGGGGATGTGAAGGTCATTGGGGGCGCAGGAGAGAAAAAAAACTATGGATAGGGAAAGAGGCCCGGAACCCCCCAAAGCGGCTGACACCAGGTTCCTGATAGAATCCAGGAGTGCCCCAGGAGTGTCGGTGTACGGGGAGGGGAGTTGATATTAGGGAGGACCGTCCTGCCCTTTTCTATACAGAAGATCTGTTTCTGTTCTCTGTCTTTGGGGCTGACATTGATAGTCTGGGCAATTGTGACTGAGCTGGTGTGGAGCTGCCAACGAAACGTAGAGGTTAGAGTGATGGCGGTGTTGCAGTAGGAAGAACTAAGGGAAGGACACTGTTAGCCTGTCATTAAACCAGAAGAGGCTTTTTGTTTGTTTTCTTACTTGCAGCCTTTTAGAAAAACAAATGTTATTGTTCCCTTGAAAGGGAACTAATATACTACTAATATGTTAAAATGGCTTTTCTCTCTCCCTCTCCCTCTCCCTCTCTCTCTCTTTTTTTTTTTTTTTTTTTTTTTTTTTGAGGTAGGTCCTTACTCTGTAGACCAGGCTGGCCTTGAACTCAAAGGGACCCACTTGCTTCTGATTACCGAATGCTGGTTTGGGTATTTTAATGTTCTATGTGTATGTGTTTCCCTCCAGTGTTGAGGTCAAATCCCAGGGCATTGCATATGCTATATCACACCCAGCCTTGTTTTTTTTTTTTTATAGAGTTTTGTTGTTTGCTTTTTATTTTTACTTATGGTGTGTTGTTTGTTTTAATTGGCTCAAATCTATGAAGAGTAAAAAACATTTTTGGGACTAGAGAGGTGGCTCAGCAGTTAGGAGCACTGACTGCTCTTCCAAAGAACCTGGGTTCAGTTCCCAGGACCCAAATGACAGCTCACAATTGTCTGACAGCCTCACCCATACATGCATGCAGGTGAAACACCAGTACACATAAAATAAAAATACATCAGTTATAGCTGAGTGGTAGTGGCCCTTTAGTCCTAACACTTGGGACGCAGAGGCAGGCGGATCTCTGTGAGTTTGAGGCCAAGCTGGTCTACATAGAGAAACCCTGTCTTGAAAAAAAAAAAACTTTTTGTTTTATTTTTGAGAAAGTCTCACTATGTAGACCTGGCTGGTCTTGAACTCATATCTACCTGCTTCTCTGTGCTGAGATTAAAGACATGAGCCACCTTGCATGGCTTCTTTTTTATTTTTAAATTACATTTATTTATTATCTACCTATCTATGACTCTATCTATCTATTGTATGTCTGTTTGACTGTGTGCATGCCACAGTGAGAGTATAAAGATCAGAGGACTACTTGCCTGGAGTCTTTTCTCTGCTCTCTCCTATGCGGGTTGCAGGATTGGACTCAGGCTTGGCAGCAAGTGCCTTTATCCACAGAGCCCCAAAACTAATTCTCCTTTTTCATCTCCCTGGATTCCTTCACACATTCTGGCGGGGTGTTTATTGGATGACTAAGACATGAGAGAAGAATAAAGCCATTAGATAGTAATGAAACAATGTATTTGGGAGTCCTGTTTTGCTTCTGCTTTGACACTGGATTTCTGTGCCCCTCATAGGAATTCTTTCTGGGGTATATAGTGTGTAGTGGTTAGCTGCTTGTGGAAACAGTCTCCTCTCTCTCTCAGTGCTTCTGCCAGATAGTATAACTGTTTGAAAGTATTTAAAAGTTTTACAAATATAGAACAGGATGCTTTAGAACTGGGACTGCCATTAGATAAATCTAGGCTCTCTGTGGGGGTGTGTGCCTGTCCTCGGGTTCCAAGTGCCACACTTGTTTGGTACGGTGCTGGAGATGAAACCCAGGACCTTTAAATGACAGCAAAGTATTCTCCCTCTGTACTGTATCCCCATGACAAGCTCAGTAACCTTTATTTGAATTTTAAAAATGACTGCATTTTGGTGGTGTACACCTTTAATCCCAGCACTCAGTGTATGTGTCTGTGTAAGTGTGTCAGGGGACAACTTTTGGGAGGTGATTCTTTTCCTATATCATGCTGGTCGTGGATCCAACTCATGTCATCAGTCTTGATGCCAACTCCTTTACCCGCTGAGTTCTTTTGCTGGCCCTTGATTTGAATATTTTTGAGACTTGAGAGTGGAAAAGCAACTTTACCATAAAAAATCCATCTCCAGAATAAATGCTAGCCACTTTCTTGCTTCTTATTGATCTTTTTGACTCTGACAGGGCCTTACTATATATTCCTGGCTGACCTGGAACTTGCTGTGTTGACTGAACTAGCCTTGAACTTGTGGTAATTTCCCAGCCTCTGTCTCCAGAGTACTGGAATTACAAGAATATGTACCATACCTGGCTTATTTATTTTCTTTTTTTTTAAAGATTTGTTTATTTATTATGTATACAGTGTTCTGTCTGCATGCATGCCACACACCAGATGTCATTATAGATGGTTGTGAGCCACCATGTGGTTGCTGGGAATTGAACTCAGGTCCTCTGAAGAGCAGCCAGTGTTCTTAACCTCTGAGCCATTTCTCCAGCCTGTTTATTTTCTTCTTCTTCTTCTTCTTCTTCTTCTTCTTCTTCTTCTTCTTCTTCTTCTTCTTCTTCTTCTTCTTCTTCTTCTTCTTCTTCTTCTTCTTCCTCCTCCTCCTCCTCCTCCTCCTCCTCCTCCTCCTCCTCCTCCCTCCCTCCCTCCCTCCCTCCCTCTCCCTCTTTCCCTCCCTCCCTCCCCCGCCTCTCTCTCTCTCTCTCTCTCTCTCTCTCTCTCTCTCTCTCTTTGGTTTTTCGAGACAGGGTTTCTCTGTATTGTTTTGGAGGCTGTCCTGGAACTCGCTCTGTAGACCAGGCTGGCCTTGAACTCACTGAGATCCACCTGCCTCTGTCTCCCAAGTGCTGGGATTAAAGGCATGCGCCACCAATGCCCAGCACATAATACAAGATTTTAAGAAGAAAATAAACGAGCCAGACATTGGTGGCGCACAGCTTTAATCCCAGCACTTGGGAGGCAGAGGCAGGCGGATCTCTGTGAGTTCGAGGCCAGCCTGGTCTACAGAGCGAGTTTCAGGACAGCCTCCAAAACAATACAGAGAAACCCTGTCTCGGGAAAAAAAAAAACTTGTATTATTTATTATTAGTAAATTTTTTGGGAGGGGGCAGGGACACTGGTCCCATGGTGTGTGTGTGGAGGTCAGTAGGGTGACATTTTCTCTCCTTGAATTCAGGTTATCGGACTGGCACATTAAGCACTTTTGCCTACTGAGTCATCTCTGGATCTTCACTTTCTCTTCTTCATATTTTCTCTTTGTTTTTTTGAGACAGATTCTCACTAAGTAGCATCTGATGGCCTGGAACTCCTGATGTATACCATGCTGGCCTTGAACTCAGAGATCCACCTTCCTCTACCTCCTCAGTGCTGGGAGCTCTTTACTTTCTTAAAGGTAGTATTTTTATGTTAAGATATATATAGGGCTGGGAGTATCCAGTGCTCTCTTCTGACTTCTGCAGGCACTGACACATGTGCAACATACACTCCCACAGACGAACATACAGACATACGTGTGCGCATATATATAATATACTACATATATTATGTATATATTACTTTATTAGTCATACCTAAACTCTGAATTTTGCATAAGGTGGTTTGACTGAAACTTGACTTTACACAGTTCATGGTTTAACATCAGGCCTTTGCTAAAGAAATTTTGGTGAAGAGTCCCCTCATTTCTCCACTTCCCTGTAGTTGAACATGCTTTTCTTACCTATTCAAGACTTGACTTATTTTCCCTAGTGGTTTTGAGTTAAATCTTATTCTGTAACTCAGGCTGGCTTTGAACTTGGTTGATCCTTCTGCCTCAGCCTCCCACGTGCTGAGATTTCAGGCCTTTGGCCCCATGCCTGGCTTTCCCCCTTCACTTTGACATTTTGAAGGTTCCCATCCGGTTTCAGGGCAGCACTTTCTTGTCAACCACTTTTGGTTTCTTTCTTAGAGTTTGGTTTCTTTGTTGCTCTCTCACTCCCAAGTGATGAAAGAGGCAGGCTTAACTAGTGAGGTCACATTCCTAGAGACCGTAGATGGTGCTTGCAAGCTATGGCTCTCATCTGTAAGGGAGTCCATTCTCACAGATGGAGAATGGAGAGCGGAAGTAAAAATAATGTTCCTCAGAATTAAAGACCTCTTTCTAAGATTATGATAGTCATCATGCTGTCTGTCAGATAAATTTGGTTTCTGTCACCCAAGCATGTAGAATTAGAGTTGTTTTCCCCTTTCAAATTGGCTTGTGAGTTATTCTTGGCTCTTTGGTTAATGAAATGTGCATATAAGAATAACATTGTAGTCCTTTTCAGTAAAAGCTTCCCAGTGTAATTTGTTACTCTCTTTCCTTCTGTTGTGGCTGTTACTGCTCCAAATGGTGGCTCCTCTATCTAGAACTCAGGGATCCATAGTGAACATGAGAAAGAAGTTAAATGTCACTGGGGTTTTGGAATAAAAAAATATTTTGAATTTTTTATTAGATTTTTATTTTATGTGTTAATGTTTTACCTGCCAAATTTCCATGCACCATGTGCATGCTTGGTGCCTGCAGAGGTCAAAAGAGGACATTG